ATTTAGCGGCTGACGGCGAATCTTCTCACCCAAAACACACACGACTAAAATTTCAGGCTAAAATGGTAACCCGTGTATATAAAAAATCTTGGTGCATTTTTAAAAAATTAACTTCGCCATTTTTCTGTGTCATTGTATTGTGTCGAGAATTGATGTACATTCATGCAAAGTGATACGCTCATGTGTTTGCTAGTGCAGCCTTCTTGGGTGTTTTTTTTCAGGTAACATACTTTATATTTAGTTAGCCTAGGTGTTTATTTTATTCGAGAGCAGTTTCAACACAAAACGAACACTATGAAACGCGGAATACAAAAAAAATAACACGAAGAGACGAAGTAAAAGGAAGACGCAGGGGATGGGAGAAAGATTCAAAAGCAAGAAGTACTTACATCACACATTCAGAAATAATCCACTAGTTTCATATTACTTTTTCCGAAGGAAAAGGAAAATTATGCGATCAGCAATAACTTTAATCCGGAACCGTACTTCGTAACACCTAGAGACACCAATTCATATGATGCATTGTACTACAGTAGGGTGTTGTAATACATCACCAAATATAAACTCAACACAACTGTCACTCATTCCAAAGAGCTATGTCACGAAATGAATACTTTTAGGCTCCTTCTAAACCAGGCAACACTAACCGGTACGGAATCCTTGCAGAAGCCATATGTGAAAAGTGCTCAAGACACTTCAAACAGTGCAAACATAAATCACGAAATGACCACCAATATGCTCAAGCACAGCCCAGAAATTTTCGCAAACAGAAGATAGAGAATCAACGTTAAACCTCGCATACAAATGCATCGGTGCCACCTCCAACAATTCACAGTAGAATACAAAGAAGAGGCGGATAGGAGGAGTCACATCAAAGTAGACAAAGTTGTGAGGAAGAATAAATAATTTAAAGACAAAGGTTAAAACAAGCATTCAAACATCAGAAGATGCCAAAGAGTGAATACATCTGCCCCACTACAACCGATGTTCAGCCATGTCACCGAAAGTTTTGAACCGCTGATTCCTATAGTTTCACAGACTCTGACAGGTAGTCTACACCTCCAAACAATGCTTAGACAAGCATTCAGCGACTTCATAGATTGGTACCACGTCTTGGTTCCGCAACCCTGAACCGTCTTCTAACCAAATACTACTTCAACTGACATTCCACATCCAGGTAGGTGGTGGCTCAGCATGCACAACACATGTCCAAACCACCTGAGTTGGTGGAGGTCCACAACCTCATTGCCTCACTTTCCTTCCTTGTCCAGTGCCCTCCGCCTAACCCCAACATCGCTCACACCGTGATTCCACCATACGTGAGCAATGCTACGAAAACACTTGTCGTCAAAAACTGAAACTGTTTCACATCTACTTTCAACGGTTATTTCTGGCAACCTTATGAACGGATTGCAGCACAGTACACTCGTCCTTCGACAGGTAGAGTTGGATATCTCGCCAGTCGGCGCCCCAGATGACGCCAGTTGGCAAATGCTAAACAAGCCTTCTTTATCGGATATGAGGTTTCGTCAACAAACAGCCCGTTCGGTGGGCTGATGCAACTCCCCAAATAAGTGAACTGGTCAACCCACTGTTACACTTCAATCCCTATCCTCAAATTGAAAGTAACTGCACACTAGTCCTGAGGCGTCATATTACATTTGACAGGTGCGAAATGCATGTATTAGTACGTCTATAACGAAAGTAAATAAGATCGGTGACAGTGAGAATCCCTGGCGGGCACCTCCAGTTGTCGTCAGTTCACATCACGACTCTACATAAGCACCTACATGCCAGCGTGAGTTCGAGTAGAAAACTTTGGTAAGCATTGTATACTTGGTCAGTACTCCCTGCATAGTCTGATACTGCCACAACACCTCATGGTCGACAAAGTTAAATGCCGCCTTCAGGTGAAGAAATGTTGCAAGTGTGAGTCACTGGCTGGAAGGTAGCTTGTGTTTGAAAACCTGTGAGAGCATGAAAACATGATCAAAGCACCCTTATTCAGCTCTGAAAGCTGCCTGTTTTTCTCGATCTCCAATTCAGTGTTGAATAACTAGGGACTCTGCAATCTTGGCACAACAACAGTTCTCTCCGTTCTCACAGAATGGAATGATCAGTAAAATAGACCGGTATTACGGGACCACCTCTGATTCCCACACACTATCCAGTACCTCCGTCACTTAAGTCAGCGATTTTCTGCCTCCAACCTTGAAAATTTAGGTGACAAACTGTCAGTTCCTGCTGCTTTGCATTATTTCAGGTTAGAAACAGACTTCTCAATTAGTGGACACTTTTGACCGAAATCTGCCTCCTAAACAGGCTTGGACTAGATGCTAGGCGTCTGAAGGGGTGGCTTTGGTCCAGTCGACGTGTGCTTCAAAGTTTTATGCCAAACTTCCTTGCCATCTGGTCTCCATCTCCTACGCTTTCCCCTAACCGATAATTGCTACCTTGACGTGGTGGTTGGGCTTGTATATCACAATGACTCAACGAGCCATGCTGGTGGAACCCTTGTTCCCTTGATATTCTATTATCTCAGGAAAGTCTGTTAGATAGGGATTAGACAAAAAGCAGTTACCATTATAGTGTAAGCTGCTACAATACGATGGGGTTGTGATGGAGAAATCTTACTGCTGACTGGACAAGTGTGTATGTGACAGCATTAAGGTGTTTCCGTTCGGTGACCAGCAGTGCTGAGCGTCCCTAGTTGTTATGTATGTATCCGTTTGCTCATCTGCTCAGCAGATGAGTGTTGTGTGATATCCGGTTAAGGAGTGCATTTCTGTTCCTGGTAGCTAGTGTTATGCCTACGCCACCGAGTGCACGACAGGTTTTCTCCGAATGTGTGGGTGTACGTAGGGTCAATTTCATATATTCACCACATTGACTTGGACAAGTCAAGTAAATTAGCGCTTTTGGGTTGTGTATATATGTTTCAGAAACACGACATACATTCACAGTTGACGGCTTCACTGTTTTGGCAAGACACGTTTGTTGTCCGACATGGCATATAATTTGGACATGGAAATCCTCAACATGAAATTTACAACCCGATTTCTAAAGGCTAGGAGTGTCATTTTACTGACTTAAAACGCTTGCGATGGTAGACGGTTGAGAAGTAAGGAAAGTTATGAGGATGTTGCTTAATGTCTCCCATTTTTTCGTGATTCCTGACTGACGTGTTGATGTCCGTTATAGTTTCCTCCTTTTGTTCAGTTTCTGTTCTGGGTGTTCAACTTGAACTGTGGTGTATCACCAATTTCTGTGGAGGCTTTCAACTTGATTTTGAAGGCAGGTTCCTGTTGTGATGCCCCAGTTTTGTACAGAACAATGTTAGCGATCTGATCATTTCAACGTGTCATTCCCACAACATTTTTACGGTTTGACTAATAGTCTATTTTGTGCCCCCATTGTAATGTAAATTGCTAATTGGTTAGTCTTTACTCTTACTATGCAAATGCCTCAAATTGAGGACCAGGTCATTTTTCATGTGTACGCTTATTCACGTGTTTTGGATTGATTCATTATATTATATTCTCGGAGTAATACACTCTCCCATCTGCCAGCTTTGGTCTTCTCTCTCTGTTCGTCCCGGGATTGCAGTCAGTGATTCTTGCGTACCAAGTTAGCTATCAGCTAAGCGTGCGTATTATATTCGTTCTGGAATATATATATATATATATATATATATATATATATATATATATATATATATATATATATATATATAAAAGCCTTCGAAACCATAACAGTTCCTCACACTAGATGGTGAGTGGTCTGATCCTACACCTGGTCCCCTTCTTGATCTTGTGTCTTGTAGGCTGCGTCTCCGCTTTCTTCAGATTCAGATGAATTGGATCTGATTTTAGTGTCCTGGTATCTGATGAAATCCATGTTGCTGCCTTGTGAATATCCTTGCGTTTGTACACACTGCCTCCAAGTACCAAATCGTTGAATGCGCAGAATTCTGCAAACAGTTCTCCATTCTCCGAGTGCTCTTCGACCCATGATTGATTCTCTTCCTGTGTTGTCTGCTCCCAGTTGGCATTCATGTCACCCATCAGAATGAACTTTGATGTCGCCAACTGGAGTCTTTTCCCGTACTGATTGCAGTTGTCTGTAGAATTCCTCCCTCTTCTCTTGATCTGCATTATTTGTAGGTGCGTAGCGTAGCATTGTATGATTGTGACTTTCCTTCCTTTTGAGTTGGACCTTGCTGTCATAATCCTGGAAGAGGAGATTGTTTCAGACTACATGAGAGAGAGAGAGAGAGAGCCTTTGATGCTCTTGAAGGGGACATGATGATAGCCACTCCATAACTCAGTGTGGCCGTGGTTGTTGTCTGGGTGAGAATATCGGAGTAGATTATTGACTGTCCAGTTGACATTTTCGAGAGTCCACTCCCATTCCATCTTCAGATTCCTCGCAGATTCCTAGGACTTCTATGCTATATCTTATCATCTTTTTTACAATCTTGGCAGCCTTTCTAGTTTCAAACATTGTTCGGATATTCCATATCACCATGTTTACCTTTGCTTTCATCGTGAGAATAGAAGATATATCGGCCAATTGGCTTTCGAAGGCTTTCACCAACCAGAGTCATTTCGTCTCCCCGATTCCTGTCAGGAATAAGTCTATTTTTTATATTTTCCTTGTGCTTCGAAGTTTCTTAAGCGGTTAGATTGATTTTCCGGGGTAGAGTTGCTAGCCCTATGCACAACCTTCCCTCTTTATCTGGAGTTAAAACCGGCTAGTAACTAGTGAACTAGTTATCTAGGCGAATACCCCACATAAATCAAAGTGCTCCACAATAGTGAAAATCCGAGTTTGGTGGCCAAGACTAAAATTCTTATCGATTGTACTCATTACTCACTTGAAACTAGACGAATAGGCAATCTTTCTATATGGGGAAGCATATGTTATGTTTTTTTTCTATAATTCACGTTTCCCATAATATCCCTTATTGTTCTATTTTTTGATTTTGATTTTCTCTAAAGTTTCTTAGGATTAGGTCCAACCCTGATTGTTTGTCCGGCTACAGTATTGAGACAGTGGATGTCGGAGTTTCATTCATGGTGGCCTCCTATTCGTGTAGCAATATTACATTCTACTGGATCAGGTTACCGAAAACCTGTAAGTAAGAACAACAAATCACTTTGTATATTGCATCGATTTTAGCAAACGAAATGTGATGGAGCTCAACAACTACCCGCAGATTGCAGGTTTTGATTTGTTTGGATCCCCTAGTAAAGTGTCAACTGTGATATAACTATCATGCATATCGAAGGTGAAGTTCACGTATTGGCAATGCGTATTCGCTAGCTTTGTGTCCAGTTTTAATATACCTAATGTAACCCTTAAGGGTCGCTTGGTTCCTCGAAAACAACAAGAAGTGGATAACGATAAAAGCTTTATTCTGAAGTCGACACGTGTACACAAGATAACGGTATATATACTCTCAGCAGCCTTGATACTTTCTGCACGTTTCTAGAAAGACATTTAGGTAATCTAAATCTCTCATGTGAGATCGCGTGGTTTTTCGTGAATGTTGTGTGCTGTGGTTGGTTGTGAAAGCTTTCAGGGAATTCTGAACTTCTTTTAGAAAACCAGGGAGTAGTGATTAACTTTATAACAATGCCACTACCCAATGTTGGTAAACATATAGGCAACTGATCTCAGTGGTTGACTAATTATTTTTCTGTCTGTCTGTCTGCAAAGCAAATATATTTTTGTTCAATCTCCAGTCTTCGCAGTATTGTAACCGGTATATTGCCTACAATCAAACTTTTTTTAATCAATCGCTCACTCAAAAATAGGGTAATAATCTTAATTCTTGGTCATTAAGAATTAGAATAATCGGTAGAATACTTTCCGTATATTCCTTAAATATTTGAATAACGTTTGTGTATTTATTCTTAACTGGTATTTACTATCTTCGTTTTTCTTCATTCTCCTTGTATTTCCATTTAGATTAACCTTATACAATCAATATCTAATACTCCAGGGAGTGTACTACTAACCACCTACGCTACTTTAGTTGCCTATCGTGATGTACTGACAAGCCGACATTGGTCATACATTATTTTGGATGAAGGACATAAGATAAAAAATCCGGAAGCCGAAGCCACACTTGCGGTGAAACATGTAGGTCTCACATTTCTCCTTAACAGTTTTCTTACTTTGAAAAATCATAGTTCTCCACTCCCCATCGATTAATCCTTTCCGGTAGTCCCATTCAAAATAATTTGCGTGAATTATGGTCACTTTTTGACTTTGTTTGTCCTGGACGCTTGGGACCATTGCAAGAATTCATGCAACAATTTTCTATACCGATTACTCAGGGAGGTTATGCTTCTGCTTCGCCACTTCAAGTAAGCCATGTAGATTTTGATAATTTGGCCAATCATAAAATGAAATTTTATTATTTTGTGTAAAATTCGGAAATCAGTTCAAAATCGTCTTAGTGGATATTCATTGTTTGCCAGACCACATTCGTTTTACCCTTCGTTGACTATTTTCTATATTCTGGGTAGTTGATACTTATCTATCTTATGCCTATTCTTTCTTTTGATATCTACTCATTTTGAGTTTTGGCAACGGTCACTTTTGAAGTTCAGTGAGTCTGTAATTATCAAACTCGAACAAATATATGTTTCTTCACTCTATTCTAGTGTTGATTCAATAAAATATCTACTCAATATTCTCGCAGAAAAATTTTCTGCTGATACAAGGTCTACACTTGGTATGCACTTGTGAATGCTTAAACACTAACTTGATTCCACTACTGATCTTCAGTCATTTTCACCGGAATAGAAAAAAGCGATAAGACAACAAAAAGTAAATTGAAACGTTAACTATGCTCAAGGATTCCATTTTAGAAATTTGCGAGAGTGCATTCGAAAGGTGTACTTAAATGATTCTAACAAATTGAAATGAAACAATTTGGTACAATGTATTCGGTGGGGAATCTTTCGGTAGCCTAAAGTCGTCGTATTTCCGAGGTCGTACTGCTGGCTGAACAAGACTGTGACAGAAGTAGCGTGTTCCCATGGATGAGGAGCAGTAACGTACCGGTACTACCTCTCCTATGAGAAAGACGAGTTAGCAAAGATCGATCCTAAAAATAACGTCCTCCCTGTCTTGCGTTATCCCGGTTTTATACTGTTCGGCGTTAGCAAAATCAAATCTCAATCCAACAGTTGAAAAGGTCGTGTTACAGATCTCAGTCATATGTTTCATGGGCTCCTTAGTCTTGTGAAAGTGATTCATTTTCTTATGCTGGTAACTCAAACTTCAGCTAAACAGTGTTGGGGTCCGAAAAGTATCTACGTCTCGCACGTTCGAACCATTATAGTAGTCTCAACTAATCACATCCCTCTTTCCTTACCTTTATCTCGTTTTCTTCTACCTCCCGATATCAGTACTAAGCCTCTTACAACTTCCTAAACCTCTCACCTTTCAACCATAGCAATCCAAGGCATCGAAACACCATTCCCATCACCCTAAAACCTAGCTATCAGTTTTATGTTAGTGCCGTAAACGTCGGAACCAGACGTTGATATGTGTGTCTGTGTTCCAGAACCTGGCAAAGTGTGAACATTTGGTTGATACACTCACGACCAGTTCTGAAGCCTCCTGGTTTTCTTGGGCTTGCTGTTCCCGAGCTCCACTAAGGCACCTAACGATAATAGAACTTGGAATCTAAGACACTATGTTCGTCAGGCTGATTCTTTTGTGGTTATCACAAGAAGACTTCTCTCCATTTTTGAAGACTGGGATAACCAGTGACTGAGACAAGTCAGAGGGGATCATATTTGACTGCCATACACTAGTTAACACTTCAATTAACTTGACTAACACCAATCTACCATCGTCTTTATATACCTCAGGAACTGGTCCGTCTAGACCTGCTACCCTTCCAAGTTTCAAGTTACCTACCGCATTCTCAACTTCTGTAAATGTTGAAGGGTCTATCTCAATGTTCTATTCAGGATCCAACTGGATCGTGGGCAACGCAATAGTAGCTGAAGGCCAGTTGAACTCTTCCTTGAAGTGTTCTGGCAATCGTCCCAGTCGTCTCCCCTGTGAGTGAATCGCAGACCGATTCTTCTTCGCTATAGTCTCATTAACCGTTGATGTTTTCACCCTACTTTCCTTAATAGATTTAAACTATTGTCTGCTGTAACCCATCGTCTCTGCCTTTTCCATCTCATCAGCCCTTGCTACCCGCTACTGTTCGCAGTCATTGCGTAGACTTTTAGTCAGTCTACATTTGAGTTGCATTCACTCGTTATTGTGCTTGGAACCTGCAGGAGTGCGTTCGTGTGCATCTATTAATTCAGAAGAAACTGCTGATATCTACTGGCTCATTTTAACTACTCTTTGAGAGTCGGTCACGGTCTTCAACGCTGCTTTTACAGCAGACTGGAGATGGTACCAAGCTTCTTCTGGATGAATGATATTGTTCTGTTCCGATAACTGCCTACCCAGTTTCTCACTGAAAGCGGCCTGAGTGTTTTCATAGTCAGGCTGCACTCGCAGTGGACTTGTCACTATTGTTTTCCTGAGTCCATTGAAACAGACATAAACGCACTAGAAACAACGCATGGTTGAGGTCTGAACACGTGCTCCAGAAGGAGTGATAGTCTTCCTTCAACCCTCTTTAACTATGATTGATAGCTATGTGGTCTATCTGTTCAGCCGCCGAGTTGAGCTCGGTGGACGTCACTTCAGACAACGTCTCTCTTTATGTCTGAAGTTTGTACTGGCTAGAAATAAGTGATTTTCTGAGCACAGTTGTAGCAGGCAACCACCATTATCTGTTCGTTCAGGTGGGGTTCCTAAAGTGCCTGATTCCACCTTGCGTCCTTAGTGCGTGACTCACAGACATAGCAGACATCCATGCTCCGAGTTACTAGAGTTTTGGCCGATGAAGCTTGTTGGCCAATTCGGGAGAGTCTGTGGACATTGAAGTCTCAAATGTGTAATTTGGTGCGTGGTTTAGGGAAATCAAGGATGCTATTCTATGGGCTAAATTCGCTGTCGAAAGCTACAGGACTGGAAGAAATTGAAGATGATGTAGGATCAGTAACTGAGAGACGTGATTGAAGATTATAAGGGAAGGATGAGGGAGGCAGATTGTTAGTTGGGCCGACAGATTTGTGAAGGCAGTTGACACTTCCCGGCTACCAACATCGTGAAAGGTCAGACCTTTCTTGAGGTATCTGAAGGAGATGAAGATCTGTGTGACCTCAGAGCCCATGTGACATCTGTTTGAGGTCGGTCACGTGCGGCGTTTTTGATGCCACTACATTCGACCTGTGTTACTAAAAGAGTAGTCGGACATTACGTCCTGTCGTTTTGCATCACGACTAACTACTGATGACTGATCTTAGCCTCCATAATGTATCTTCTCTTTGTTTAGGAACATGTTAAGAGTAACTGCTTTTTGTCTAACTACTATCCAACAAAACTTTCTGGTATGGTAGGACCTCTAGGAAACAAGCTTTCCAGCAGCATGGCTCGTTGGATTATAGTAATATACAAGGCTGAGATGTGTATAACCTTTTAAGATAGGTGGCTAGAAAGTTGGGTTGAACGCTTTTATGCACTATCCAACTACAGTACTACGACTCTTCAGTTGCCCAGCATCCAGTCTGAAGCTATATGGGATTAAGATGTCGGTCATCTAAGTGTTCTGAAAGTTGGGAAGTCTGCTTTAAACCTAAAACGACGCAAAGCAGCACGACGTGATAGTTTGCCAACAAAAATGTATGAAAAGGTATGTGGCGAATTCTTGCGTATAGTAACCGAGTTGCTGGATAGTGTATGGGAATCAGTGTTAGTTCCGTAAGATTGAACTACGTCATAGATCAATCCAGTCTATAAGAAAGAATGGACATCTTGTGACAACTATACGGGAATCAGTTTGACTACCATGGTGTACAAAATCCTAACTGGAGCTCGAGAGAACCAGACAGATTTCAGACCTGGAAGAGGGTGCACCGACCACATCTTCACTGTTCTTCAAGTTATAAGCAAAGGCATACTTAATGGTGGCGTCCACATGCTGACATATCTTGACCTGAAGTCAGCACTTGACTCTCTTGACCTTGACCGTGAGGTGTTGTGGCAGTGTCTGTCTGTGAGGACAGTCCCGAGCGAGTATGTAAGGCTAATCAGAGCTGTTTACTTGAACTTCTGCAGTCGTGTAAGTGCTTATGGAGAGTTGTCATCAGGGACTCCCACTATCATCGTTCTTGTTGAATTTCTTTATCGATGTACTGATGTACCCATGATTTCATAGGGATTGACCTACTCCCCAAAGGGCACCCGGTTGACTTGGAGTATTTAGATGATAGTCCCGTTACGTGAAGACGCTGACAAAATCCATTGAGCAGAAATCTGACTGTTTGGCATGCATTTCGCACCTGTCAAATGTAATATGACGCCTCAGGACTAGTGTGCAGTTACTTTCAATTTGAGGATAGGGATTGAAGTGTAACAGTGGGTTGACCAGTTCACTTATTTGGGGAGTTGCATCAGCCCACCGAACGGGCTGTTTGTTGACGAAACCTCATATCCGATAAAGAAGGCTTGTTTAGCATTTGCCAACTGGCGTCATCTGGGGCGCCGACTGGCGAGATATCCAACTCTACCTGTCGAAGGACGAGTGTACTGTGCTGCAATCCGTTCATAAGGTTGCCAGAAATAACCGTTGAAAGTAGATGTGAAACAGTTTCAGTTTTTGACGACAAGTGTTTTCGTAGCATTGCTCACGTATGGTGGAATCACGGTGTGAGCGATGTTGGGGTTAGGCGGAGGGCACTGGACAAGGAAGGAAAGTGAGGCAATGAGGTTGTGGACCTCCACCAACTCAGGTGGTTTGGACATGTGTTGTGCATGCTGAGCCACCACCTACCTGGATGTGGAATGTCAGTTGAAGTAGTATTTGGTTAGAAGACGGTTCAGGGTTGCGGAACCAAGACGTGGTACCAATCTATGAAGTATGGTACTTTTGATGTGACCTATCTGAGCTCTTGTTGGTTGAAAATCATTCTTGTTTTATTCCTTTTGGGGCCTTTTACACTTCTGCGGTCTTTTCTTTATTTCTCTATATTTCATCTTGTTGCATCCAATGGAGATTGGATTTGGGGTGTTTGAAGTTGGATCTTCGCCTTGTAGTTTCATATTCCAAATGGATTCTGACTGAATGAATTTGCAGGTAAACCGTAGCAACATATACAGATACTGTTAATTGGTAAATGTAGACGTAAGTACCTTCAAATGTCACTCATAATAATCGAAATACTAAATGCTGCCACACTTCGTGGTGAATTCGCCATTACGCAGTAGTACTTGGTCTCAAATTGTTGCCACCTGGCTATCTATCTGTTTCATAGATTTTGAGGTTATTTGATGGTTCGTAACTTTCTTTGTTTATCGTAATTTTTTCCATTCTTTCACATTGCTGTTTTGGTATACCACTGTAATTTTATCATGTTATCATTAGATGATTTGTATGTCTCTTTTTCTGTTTAATTTGTGAAGGTTGAGACAGCCTATCAGTGTGCATGTACTCTGCGGGATCTTTTAAAACCGTATCTTATCCGCCGTCTCAAAGCTGATGTACAAATACAACTTCCGTCTAAATCTGAACAAGTAAATCGAATTATTGTATTAAGGAAATGTATGATTCTGCTCGATTTACTGTTTTGGTATTGATGAGTATATGTTAATTGTTTACAGGTGGTCGTCAGGACACCCAGAATCATGGTTTCATGCCTGCTGGCACTCATCTACAATGTGTATCTGCACCGTCGAGGTAGTATGCCCTCCGGGGTTGGAACTCGCCACACCCAGAGCTGCAGTCATAGATGTTACCACTGAGGCATTTTGGTCCCCAACTAACACTGTACGATTTGTCTAGACAGATTGATTAGTCACTGGAGAGCAGCCTATTTCATGTTGTCTAGTCCTGAGTACTAACCGAATCCTACCGATGATGAATCTCTTGCATGATGTCTCCGAATTTCAAGATGATGAATAGAATTCTATCAACCCTCACCACTAGACAACATGAAATTAGTGACTCTCCATCGCCTAGTGAGTACAGATGAGTATATATTTCAACTATATCATATGGCCTATTTTCAGTACTGTAATTCACCCTGCAGTTTTGTTTATTTGTAGCTTTTTCATCCAACCGGATTTATGAATTGGACAGATAAAGCCAAAGGTAGTTGAAGAAAGGCTAATGCATCCAGAATAAAAGTCAGATGTTAATTTTCTTGTCTATACTCTTGATAGGGCTGTGTCTCATTGGTGTAGGCATTAGACTTTCAACTAGTAGTCCATAAATCCTAACCCCGCTACATCTTCTGACGTCTGCACAGCCATGCAGTATTATTAGGAATCATTCAATGGGCGTGACTCCTTGCCTACTGCACGAACATGCAAGAGATTTTTGAGGGCATTTCGATTCGAAAGAAATCCAATACTAATGCAACTATAAAAAATCACGAATACTAATGTATTTTCTCTTCTTTCTTTTATTGGAGAGGTCAGTCGACAACAAACAGACAGATCAACTGAATACTCTTCGCATAAGTTGTTACATTTTGCAGAAACTTAGGAATAAAAGGTGAATAGAAATAAACTGAAATTGAAATCAACTAAAGTTTGAGATTACAGACCATAAGTAAATGAAGGTTCGTGAATAAGTTTAAAATTTTAAAGACGATAAAAAGTCAGTGCATTTTCACATAACTTTCGATATCTGATTACTTTGGAAAAAAATATAATTATGAGCAATAATTTATGCTCGGACTGTCATCAAGTAAATAATACTGTGTCGCTTTGTGGTCTACATTAAATAGACAAATGTAACATGGAATTATCCGTAGTTTTATACTCAATATTTTCTCAGTTAACATCGTGCATTGGATTGTATAGTTGCCTGGTTGGGTTAACTTATATCTCAGTGACCTCGATTAGTGAACGACCATCACTTCCCTCCTTGACCTATTGTTGTTTACACTGTCTACGTGATCGCTGTAACTCGTATTCAGTTGGAGGGCTAGTTGTTTTTTTAAACATGTATATCAGTTGAGAAAATCCTTGAATTCCTGGCAAAGGGATGAAACTTTCTGCTTCAACCCTGTATGGTTTGGAGTGGTACATAGTTTGGTACATTTTGACTTATCTTCTTTATTGAACGGCTATTTTTATTCACTTTGAAATTATTATTTTTGCATTCTCTATGGCCCACAGGTTTTATTCTGTCGACTAACTGAATACCAACGGAAACTTTATCAGGAATATTTAGAATCGCAGACTTGTAAAGATCTTCTAAATGGAAAAGGCAATGTGAGTTTTTTTTTCCGATCACTTCACTTTTACACCAGCGAATGACCCAATCTGTTTAGTCATTTATTCGTCCAACTTGAGAAGTTGCTCTTCGTGTTAACTACGAATAATAATAACCAATCGGATGTATATCCCCTTTCTTGGATTTTACTTTTAAATTAAATGGGTTGTTTCAAGATGCAAGATATCATTGACAGATGCATGGCTAGAAAGCTTGGACACTCCACTCCCAACCGTAACATTTGGTTCTGAACCTCTTTTTCATAAAACAACTGTTAGTTGATTATAAGGGAATCTGATTGAACAAAGGGTTGGCTGGTAAGTTGAATTAGAATGCTGTGTAGGGTATCGTGACTAAGTTGTCAGTGCTCACCATCCTTTATACCCAAATTAAGTAATAACCAAGAAGACTAACGAATTAAACTGACTTTAAAATTCACTCTACCAACTACTGAAATCACCAATTAAGTCTCTTTATTTCAACTGAAAAATCTTTTTCTTAAAAGGAGATTTCATTGGTTGTTTGAGCGTTTTCTAGGGTGGTCTTTAACATTTCTCAATGGATTGATCTTGTTGTATATTCGTAATGTTGATAACTGCATTATGATTGGAGTCTACGAGCGAAGTTGTACTGTTTATTGTACTTGAATATGGACATGTTTTGCCAATGATAATTTCTAATGGTATCATTTCCATCCTGAATTATGATTCTTAATTGTTTCATGTTATAAGGAAAGATAAACATGCCTTTTGAAATAACCACAGGGTATTTCGGTTTTATTTTCAGTATGCTGTAGATTCTGCTTTCTGTAAATATATAAACCGTCTGTGTTACTTGGTGTGGAAGCAGTATGTATTTATTTTGTGATTTCTGTAAACACAGTAATAAACGTTTGTTTTGGGTCACTAAAGACTGTCTGGCTGAAGTCGCATCGTTTTTTATAAGTAAATGAAATGTTGTCAACTGAAAAGATGGTAATAATAACTCAATCCAGGTTAACATTTTGGGGGTACAGTAAAAAAGTCTCAGCATATAATATCGGAAAACTTGTTGTTTAAACAATAATTACTGGTAACATTAATATAGACATTACCACAAAGGCAACAGTAGGAATAAAAATAAGCCTAATCTAATGAACAAACTCTGCTAAAACACTTCTTTTCATATATTGTGAAGTGTAGAAATTACGGCAAACCTGTTCTATGTTTTCCTTGGGGGGACAGATAAACAGAAAACTGTGAACAAAGCAATGCTCATTGTATGTATGGTAAAGTAAATCTAGTGTGGAATAAACGTAAGTGAATTAAAACACGTGTTCATAAACATTCTAAAGTTATGGGTGCATTGTAAGGCCTCATGACATCATACGAATTCATTCACCACCAACAGAGTCTTATCATTGGTCCAGGAAATAATCAAGGAATTATCAATTCACAAAAGTAGAGACTTGGTCACATCAAAAGCTCTCAGTCTTCTGATGTGTTGCGTTAAAATTTTTTAAGAAAATAAGATAGCAATTAATATATTTTGAGCAGAATATCTATTGACAATACAAAAGTCATAGTACTAAAAATACTCACACCAGTTCTTTTCACGTCTGAAAATAAATTAGCTGACTCTTCATTATCAATTAAGAAATCATTCCTTTTGTGCAGATGGGATTCCTTGATTGTAGAAAATTTTAATTTCCTAGCCTGATGATAATGTGGGTAAACTGTATGGCGTCAGATTACCAGCATATTTGACAACAGTAAATTCAGCATAATAAAGCGAGTCTTGTGAAAAGAAAGAGGGCTAAAGGGAGAACGAATGGCTCATGAAGGTGCACTAGGCTCAGAAAAAAATGAAGTGGAATGTTTCCTTTCACTTAAGACAGCCAGCCATTTCGTAGTCCAGGCTCAGTACGTCTTGCGACATGGTTTTTCAGTAAGTATAGCCCATACTTAATGCTTTTATCTAACGTGAAAATAATAACAGACAAACAGTACCAACGTTTGACATTCCTGCGTAGTGGTCCAAGTTCAAGACCTTAATATGAGCGCAGCAAGCGGCAATACACTAGAGTGAAGGACAAAGAGATAATGAACAAAGTAGTCAAAGCGTGTGAAAAGTAATCGATAGAGAGCAAGGGGGAGTAAGAGAATAATGAAATTTAGAATGACGCTTAAGAAGAATACTTGTAGATGCATCTACATCATTGAAATTGGTTCTGAGCCACGTCACCTATTCTATTATTATTTGTTCCTTGTATTCCTAGTGGAACATAGGGCTTCAGCACCACGTCTCCATTGCACTCTGTTCCTTGCAGTCTTTTGAACCTGGCTCCATGACTGCCCAGAAGCTTTCATTTCTTCCTCACACGATCTCCTCCATATCACCCTCAGCTGGGACGCCCAACTCGTCGTTTCCCCTTTGGATTCCACTCGAGGGTCTGGCCTGGCGCATTATGTCTCCAGTAGGCCTTCTCAGTGTATGCCCAATCCATCTTCACTTTCTTCTACTGCATATTTGTTGTGTGATAGGTTCTTGGTTGGTTCGTTTCCAGAGTTCCTTGTTACTTATTCTTTCTGGCATTTGATCTTCAGTATGGAGTGAGCGTAGGCGGCAGCTGTTGATGAATGTCTGTAGTTTGTTGGAAATGCTTTTTGTAACGCGTCAAGTTTCTGAACCACCACTTAGAAGCACAGACTTGACGTTGGTGTTGAAAATCCGGATCTTGTTCATGCTTTATGCTGAGTGCAGTCGATCTCCACACTGATTTCAGGTTAATGAAAGTCTGTCTTGTTGTCTTTCCGATCCTGGCTTTGACATCCTCATCCGTGCCTGTGCCGCCTGTAGTTGAAACGATGCTGGCTTGGCAGGTAGGTGAAAGAGACTACTTCCTTCAGGTTTCTCCCATTGATGGTGATTGGGGTTTGTTGTTGTTGTTGGTGTTGTTGGTAGGTATCTTCATCACCTATGTCTTCTCTATGTTTACTTGAAGTCCTGTCTTCGCTGCGTTTCCTCTTCTGTCAACTTGTTGGTGTTTTCCGCTAGATCTTCGAGTTTTTGCGATAAGACATTAGAAACAAATCATCATCATCGGTGAAACCCAAATGTTCTAGGGTCTTTTCATCCATCACTTACTTCGCAGCCACCAATTTTGGTTGTCATGTAAGGCTCAACCAGGAAGTTTAAGTTCCCTGCACACAATTCAGGTCAATAGTCTAAGATTTCATGCACTGATGCTATGTTTTAATTTGACCATCTCTAACGATTCTTTACTCCGAAAATATTCCAGCCAACAACTTTCAGTGAGGCACATGGTGACTAGGTATGCGTAATACATGTCTCAACCACCTGATTCGATGGAGGTTCAGGACCCCTCATCATCTGAGTTTACTCCTCTCCCTCAAGCACTTCACCTTATTTGTCTTTGAATGACAAGCTGACATCTTGATGCAGCCTATGCTATGAAGGTAACGATAGTCGAACACCTGAAGCTTTCTGATATTCTCTACCTTTAACAGGCATGTTTCACAACTATATAGTAGAACAGAGCGGACTGCAGTGCAATACACTAGACCCTCGATATAAACAATCGAACATCACGGCGGTGCCATTCGTGACGCAAATTAGCGAAAGCCAATGGATTTCGTCGGCTGCTGACCCACTGTGGCTTATCTGAATTCTCAGGTAAGTAAATGGCCAGCGTGCTCAACCAGGCGCCACAGAATACTAGTCCTAGCTTAGAAGTTTGCATGTTGATGATGTAGATTGCATCCCAACTGTTTTCAAATTGCCAGAACTTGTTCAGAAGATTTTGCATCTTTTTAGCGGCTTCGCCTTACAGGACTATGTCATCTACGGACTCCAAATCTACCAAGGATTCTTCTGTGATAAGTTCAACCCCTGTAAAGTCAGATGACGACAGGAAGACGTCCTTAAGTCCGTCAATGTTAAGTTTGGGTAAAAATGGCATACACGCGGGCGTTTGAGTACAGACTCTTCAGAAAGGTAATATTCTTACTCGACCCCGCTTTCAGTGAGAGATACTGTGTTTGGATGATGAGCAATACATCCTGAATGTTCTCAAATTGCTACATTGTGTTCAGAAGGCACTGCATCTGATCGATGCACCCATGACCAGATCTGAAACCTGCTTCTTTTCATGATCTCGCTGTTCCTGAGCTCCTCTTACACATCTGATAATTACAGAACATAAGATCTAGGATATTGTCTTTTTCAAACTTGTTTCTTTTTGGCCACCACATAGGGATTTCTATACTGTTTTCACCTATATTAACATAAAAGATCCTATGGAATTCGAAAGTATTCCAAAAACATTATTATCTACCTTTTTCGTTAGAATAGTTTTTTCGTTAACCTAACGTAGTTTTCTGTAATATCAGCCTTATAAATATGTTAACCAGGTAATGAGGAAAGCAGTGGAACTACATACGTGAACAGATGTAGCAAAATTTGTTTGACGCCGATGTATTGGGAATATATGGCCTTCGTGTAAGCGTTAACAAAAATAACGGTGACCTCGTGACAATTCGTGAAATTTTTAAGTTTCATGTAACAGAAGAATTAAGTTTACGAAGAACTACCGATAATAGAATCAGCCAATTCCGTAAATTCATTTGTGAAATTGAGTAGTTCAGAATGACTGTAATCAGGCGTCAAATTTGTGTGTGTAGAATCGATGAAAACATACACATTTCAGTGTCTGAAACTACCATTCACTTTCCTAAAATCATATTGTTAATACTGAAACAAAATTTTGAATTACATCACTGGTATCGAGAAAGACAACTAGATCTCTACCACAATTGGTGGGATTGATACTAGCCTAGCGAAACATTTTGAATCTACTTAGGTATACTAGAATATCGTTATACGAATTATGCATTTAAATTTCTTGCAGTATAATCACGTCAATACTGCGATAAAAATTAGAACACAAAATAGATTAAAGGCAGTTCATTCTTCATAAATATCTTCAGTTCAGATATTTGGGAAGTAGTCACTTGATATGTTGTCATTTGGTTTGAAGAATACTGTCGTCGATCACGACGTTTCGCCTTGATTCTTCTAGATGCTTTAATAGTGATAAGATGGAAACTATAATAATACATGTAAGTATATAATATGCTTTTGAGGATGTAATTGAATCATTAAAACAAAGTGCAAGCAGTAATGGAAGTAGCTTTTTACCTCGTCTTGAAATGTGATCTTTGACTGGAATATCTTATAATCTATAAACAGTATGTAGACTGAAAACCGTTTTAGGGGAGCAAGTCAAAAAGATGAATCTGTTCAACAGAGCAAGTACTACTTTTCATTTATTTGTTCCTTCCTTCTCATTTCCCTTTTCTTGGTCACCATATTACTTTTCTAATTCTTTAAAAATTCCAATTCAAAAGCCATTTTTAATATATTGTGTAGGACCTGAAAAAGTTTTCGAAAAAAATACTCTTTACTCAAATGGCTTTTCCAGTCATGTTGATCCTATTTTCCGCTCTTTCTAACCGCAACAGTTTCACCTAGTTCATGTTTGTGTGAATGTTTTCCAATATCTCTTTCTCTACAGTACAGTCAGGTGGCAATCTAAAGGCCAGTGTTCAGCTATTCAGGCTGTGTTACATTCCAAAAAACACGAACAATGTAAATATGTAAGATAGCGCTACGTTCCTCAAAGAAAAAGGCAATAAATATAGCTTCACCGTTGATAATTCGAAGCAGGATTTGTTTACAGACTGTGGGTCTATATACATGTCACCTTGATACCGGTTGTAATAATAGAAAATTAGAATGTGGAGATATACGTATAATTTTCTTCTTCTAAGTTATCCTTTCAGCTGAATACATCTTTCATTGGTAAGTTTTCTTCTGTCTAAATGTCAACAGTTGTGAATACATACTGACTAGTGAATGTGTCTGTTATAACTTCAGTGATCAATTCCTGACTTCGTGATTTTCGCAGTCCTTTATAACATTGACTGCGCACTTGGTCGATTTTACACATAATTTCAGTTTTCATATACACCATTTCACCCCACGTACTGGTCACATGATTTGTCCGTCTCCTCTCACAATCTCCGTACAATCAAAGGCAAGATCTGATGCGCACAGTCCTTCAGTATTTTCGATATGAGTCATGCAGAAATGCATCTAATTTATATATTCACAATGTAACGTGATTCACAAAAAATGAAGTATCTATTTTTATACTTAGGAAATGAAATAATGCTCAGTGATTGATTTCACCTTTTATGCAATTATTTGGATACTGCGTATAATACGGACATAAGTGAGGAGCCAATAAAAAGCTCTTCTACCAAGCTGCACAACAATACTGTTGAATAAGCCTTAAATAAACTATCTCTCAAAGTAAGTGAGATAGCACCACCGATCATACTTTTTTGAGATTCTCTTTCTCCTGTCGGTATAGTATTATCAATCTGTAATCTTCAAGTTATCTTAAAATATATCATATTTATATTCCTCCCGTAATGGTTTATGACCAATTCTGCTTTCTTGTTTGTTATTTTTTAGATTTTTCCTGCTTTGATACTTCTCCGGAATTTATGTAATCATCCAGACTTAGCTACTGGTGGGCCAAGAGATAGTTGTTTTTTGAATGAAGAATTCGAAGCAGATAAACAAGGCATTGAAGATGTTTGTCTGTCTTATTCCTGGTCGAAATTCGGCTGTCCACGTCGATCGAGTAAAATGTTAGTTGTAGCCTCTCTTCTTAAAAATTGGTTTGATCAAGGACACAAAGTGTTATTATTCTCACAAAGTCGGAGGGTAAGGTGCTGTTTAACCATTTTATTGTTTGTTTTTATTCTGTCTCCCTTTGATCATGAATTACGAATTGAAGGATTATTACTTATTTAGTACGTTTGCTTTTGGTAAGCGAAAACCCATAGCACATTCGTCTGCCTGCAAATTGCGATTTTAGAATGAACTTTTGTGAAGCCCCTATGTTCACTTTAGAATGTGCTCCATTGTGTGAAATCACTGTCTTTCAAAATCATTCTCCGAGTAACTATAAATATCATGTTCAAAAACACTTATCTTCTGTTGGGAAAAGATGACTTCATGCCATCCACTCTGACATGTTTAATGTTATTGTTTCTGTATGAATAGCGTTAATGAATTTTTCTCTTGGTTTAGCTTAATGTCATTCTTTATTATTTTCAATGGAAGCTTTTAAATATTCTTCTAAATTTTAATTAGATGCTCACGCTGCTCGAACGTCTAGTACAATTGATGGAGTTTTCTTATCTTAGAATGGATGGAACAACTCCTGTCAGTCAGCGTCATGAACTTATTCGACGTTTTAATTATCGTTCAATACAAAATATTGAGAAAACAAAAGATTCCCATTTCATCCTCCAGATATATTTATATTTTTATTGACTACACGTGTTGGTGGTTTAGGCGTGAACTTGACTTCAGCTAACCGAGTTCTAATTTATGATCCAGATTGGAATCCAACCACTGATTTACAAGCTCGTGAGAGAGCCTGGCGTATTGGTCAGTTACGAGATGTTATCGTTTATCGCTTGTTGACCAGTGGAACTATTGAAGAGAAAATTTACCACAGGTGTGTATCATATCCTAACGTTTTAACTAGTCAGAATATTCATTCATGCAATAACTGGTTGATAGTCCATTTTATACAGTTGTTTTGAGTCATGCAGTGAAGACAGATATATGACTAGCTATTATGTAACTGGAAAGTAGTGAAATATGCGTAATATTATGATAGTCTTACAATTTAGAAAAAAGTAGATAAAACCAACTTTTCCTTAGTTTCATAACTTTTAGCATATCAGTCCTTGATTACAGGATTTAATAAAATTAGATGAAGAGTATCATCACAACAATACCTTTGGTGGGCATACGGAAGTAATTCAGCAGTGTAATACAGCTTTTCATAATAAGCTGTTAAGTAGAACTGGATAGATTGTTAGTCAATTTGGTTAAAGCAGAATTCAAACTTGTTATATCATTGACACTGGATGAAATGGAACTCTGGAATTTGAACCACTGGCCTGGTACTGTACTAATTGAGCGACGAGACCCAGCCGCTGACCAGATCTTACCCTTTACGAACTTGAATCGAGAAAAAACAACGATAAAGGCAGAATAAAACGGTACCATGTTATTCGGCTGTAATCGTTGTTCTTTCTTCATATAATTACAGCTTAGAAGTACTTTTCAACCAGTTAGATCTGGTGCATAGTTTCACCACAAAGAGTTAGTTACCAACCAAGCGATTTATCCTAAGTGTAAACTTTAAACTGTAGGCTTTCAATTTACCATTTATAAAAGTAATCTAAACTATCCACCTAAATTTACAGTGTTCATTTATTCACCAGTCTTCTCACTTGTATAGAGTGTTATATTCTCTACAGAAACGTTTCGGTATAGATTTTCAGAACCTAAATGTTTTTTGAATCATTATACAAAATAAATAAATTGATAATACTCTTTCTTTATTTATCTTATTACTCAACTTGTTAGACAAATATTCAAACAATTTCTTACTAATCGTATCCTGAAAAATCCACGTCAACAACGATTTTTCAAAACTAATGATCTTCAAGAATTATTAAGTTTTCAAGATGGTTCAGAAATGCAAACTCCTGAAACAGCTTTATATTTACAATCAGAAGGTATGGGGCATACACTAACTTCTAGTTCAGCATCCGATAATCGATTTGATATACGCGCTCGAAAGTTGAAGGACGACCCAGCACAAAATAATCTACCTGACTTGGATACAGAAAGTGATTGTGGTGATGAAGAGAAAGAGGTGGAAGACGATGACGTAGCAGGGGAGAAGAATAAGATCATCGCAGAAGATAGCATGGGATGTAGTTCACTCAAAACCGATCCACAAGACGAGCGTAGAATGCAGCTTCGAAAGCTCGCAAAAGAAATCAGTCGCCGAATAGCAGAGGACTGCTTAGATAAAGATGATTCATTCAAATTGGCTTCCGATGTTGGGAGATACAAAGGAGAGAAATCCTCGAATAAAAAACACACCCCTCACCGTAAACGTAAATCTTGTATTGAAGGAACTCAAGTAGATGGGAAAAGAATTAAGCTTGTTTCTAGACGTTGTAAGTATGATCTCGGTGAAGGTGTTGACTTATCATTATCTCGGGATAGTCATCAACATAGCAAACCGAATAAAAGTACAAGGATTAGTTCTGAAGATGATTTTATTCGAACTATTTTGCCAGGCCCTTGCTCCGTTAGAAGTTATTCTGCGAGTGAACAAGACTATCCATCAGTCTCATCTTCAGTTACAGGAAAGCGATCAATAATTGACCAAGATACACGTGATGAAGCGAGTAGGATTGCAAATGAAGCCTTGAAAAACATCCAAAAATTTTACAAGTCTAATGAGATAAAATCCAAACAACCAACTGAAAGAAATCTGGGTAGGTTTGGTAATGTATCGTGCTTTAGATTGAGATCATGTCAAGTTTTACTCTCTATCTATTTATAATCCGATAGCTTGAACTATTTATGTCTTAGAAATAAAACCATCTGAGTATACCTCTAAAGGTTATGAACGAAATATGACTTGCAGCCTAGTACATATGTATCGGGTTGAGTTGCACTGATTAAACTCATAAACGATCTAAATTGTCATGTGGCTGTTTGTTCACTTCAGTCTGAGTGATGAGCACTGTTGATCAGTGTACGAATTAAGAGAAACCCACTCAACAGCCTTGTGCAAATTCATGCAGTAGGCAGTGAGTGATACCTATTGTTTAATAGCAAATGATACTACCTGGTTGCTTGAACGTCAGTAGTTGGAGCTGGGTTCCAACTGCTGATCATTTTGGGTAGTTTACAACTACTTATATTAGTTACTACTACATATGTTCTGTATATTGTCTTTACATAGGTATGTAGATTCTTCTGTACGCTACCACTATTATTTTCTAAATGTTTTGCTCAATCCCATCAGACTATACTAAAAAATCCAGTAGCATGCAAACTTCGAAAACTAAACACTCAAATCATCGGGACAATTATTTATCTTCGCGCGTATCATCGAGCTCTGCAGAAGCTACATCCTACAGGAGTACACCTTTCATATGTCAAGTAACTCAGATAATACAACATGATCAGTTGCTGGAGGAAATGACTAATCCTAACCATATCGATGTGTCATTCGATCAACTGAGAGCGAATCGACTTGCTAGCAGGGCAATCACTGAATTACAAGAAGAAGTAAACCGTTGGCAACAGTCTAATCTTAGCTCTTTTCAAAATAATGAGCACAGCGTTCATGGAATTACTTATCCTTTTGGTCAGGCCAAGAATCGCTTTCTTTGGAATCCGGCTGAATCAACCAGTTTTAGCTATGTGAGTTTCAAGCTCTAAATGACAGTTTTATTTTTTATATCACCCGACAGAAAATTCCTGTTCTGTTGTGGCTGTCGAATTTTCATACTACAATGACTCGACGAGATATGCTGTTTAAAACGTTTGTTTCGTGAGGTTCCATCATGCTAGATTTCTGTTGAATGGTGATAAGACAAAAAGCAGTTACTGTTAAAATGCATATACCTATGTTGTGGTTGGGGGCTCTAAGGTGAAGTCATATTGCTGGTTAGAACGGGGTGTGACAGCAGTAAAGGTTTTCCCATGGTTGACCAGCAGTACCATGCTAATACTGTTTTACACATATAGGAGGGGAAGCTTAAAATAGGTTCGTCCCAAAAATAGCACACTCACCGCTGCCCTATGGTATTCCGGTACCAGCGGTATGACTTTTTCTTGTATATGGCAGTGTAACACTGTTCTTAGTCTCCTAAAGTGCCACTGTCGATTTTATTTTGGAGCTTTCAACATCCGAACCCTATGTTGAAACAGACATCTCGAGCCATGTGTTTGTGGTGTTTCTGGTTATTCAATCGACCACGCCTGGCAAGTCCACTGAATCTGTAGAATTATGTTCATGAGTTCCCATAGATTTAATGGTGTGGCATTATGCTGTAGAGCCGAAAGCGCAGTTCTCGACTAGATACCACTCGTCTGCGTACTGACCAACTGAATTGATCTGTAAGAAGTGAAAGGGAATGTGACATTTATCGACGCCTATCCCTAATCTTCGCCGGAAGATACAAGGTATGAGTTTTATAAAATGCTATCAGTCCTTTGTCATGAAGTAAACGTTCAGATATACTCATTGTAACAAGCGACTTAAACCTTCAGTTAGTGAAGCTGAACCATTCGGTAAGGCATCTTGGAAGTATATACGGTATCCCACTGGAACGAACCGACAATAATAATCATATGTTGTAGATTTTGTTCTGACAAGCACTTTTTTGGCCAGTACTAACTTTTAAGCATAGGGAGGGACACTGTCTCAAATGGCTTCTGCCGACATCAAACCAACGATTGACATAGATAGATCACATTGCTATGAGTTATTGTTGGAGAGGATCGGTGGAGGATTGCTGCTGTTCCTACAGTAACTGTTCGAACTCCGATCACGTGTTATTACGGGTTCGTGTATGTTTGCTCCTTACTGATTGCTGGAAACATGATGGCAAAATCTGTTAGTGGTTGATTGGAAGACTGGAACGCGAATTACCTATATAGGGAAAAGTTAGCATTTATCTGAAAGAGCCAGCAATTCTCTTCCTCCTGAAGCCCGGAGTGAGATTCAGTATACTGTAGAAAAAATGGGAAAGATAATTGATAAACTTCATTCAAATGTTAGTGGGTTTCGCAACTTCATATGGATGGATTGATGCAAGAAGACTTATTTCAGCTTGCGTGGACATAGTGAAGAGCGAAAGTATCTCGAACGTAAATTGAATTACAGTCTTCACAATGACCGCGAGTAGTGGTGGGTGGCGAAAGAGATGCGGAAGGTACCCACATTAGTCAATACTCGGCAATTATTCAAGCTTATCAAGGATACCGGACCGGGAGAAGACGATGGTCGGTGTGACTATCACCTGAAATAATGGAACTCTTGGGACAGGCGTCTAGAATGTTGGGCAGAACGTTTTGAGGCCCAGTTTAACTGGCGTACAGCGACAACTCAGCTTCCCACCATCCAGTTAAATGTAATGTAGATGCCGGTCACCCAAGTGTTTTGAAAATTGAGAAGGCTGTTTCAAAACTGAAATGATGTAAAGCACCTGGACGTGACAGTTTGTCAACAAGTGTTTGGGCAAGTATTTAGCAAATCACTGAGTATTGCAACGGAGTTGTTGGATAGCGTATGGGAATCAGAGGTAGTCTCGTAGTTCATTTAACTGACCATTCCAGTGCATAGTGAAGAAAGGACGTCTTATAACAACTGTGAGGAAATCAGTTGATCCTTTGGTCTATATTTCTCTGACGCTTAGCTAGTTTAAAAGCACCAAACTCAAGGAAAGCAGATAGGTTTTAAACCTGAAAAGGAGTGCATCGATCAGATCACCGTTTGACAGGTTAGGAACACAGGGACACTTACCGACAGTTGACACTTACCATACTTCTTGACTTGAAGACGGCATTCGATTCTGTCGGGCGTATGAAAGGCATATGGAGAGGTGTCGGTGTCCGCCAAGTACGTCTCCTATCACCGGTTATGTTTAAATTTATTACGGATACACTAATGAGAATAATCCCAAATATTTTCTTATTAACTCAGTTACGTACTCCCTGGTTGGCACTGATTTACTTAGAGTATGCAGAAAAAAATGTACTGTGTGGAAAAGAGGCTGACGAATTACACTCTTTGGAACACCTATGCCAGAAAGCCGAGTATGTGTGACTAATATGCATTTCACACCTGTGTAGTGCTAGATAATGCTTCAGGACTGGTGTGTAGCCATTCCCAGTTTAAGGATAGGGATTGGAGTTCAAGAGTGTGTTAGTCACCTCACTTGGGGAGTTGCATCAACCCAATCAGGTTGGCTGCTAACAAAATCCCAGCTGGAATGCAAAAAGGCCCGTCCAGCATCTTTTAATCCACGTTATCTATGGCGCTGATTGACGAGATATCCGACTACCTAGTGCAGGGTGAGTACAGTTCGCTTTGTCCTATCATATGGCTTTTCAACATGACCGACCGCTGAAAAAAATGAGATGAAACAGGTCTTTGACCACAGGTGTATTCGACTCACTGCTTATGTATGCAGTATGTGTTTCGGCTTCCTTACTGGTGTCTTTGAGATAACTGAAATCAATTATTGGCGAATTGGTGATATGGCCAGGGAAAAACCTCGCAGCAGTCGATGTAATCTCTGGTTATTGGTTGTGTGGCTAAAAGTCGGTCACAAAGGAACAAATGTATTCACTTTCTGATGTTTTATAGTGCATAAATATATCCACTAACCTTGACTTTGAAAATCCTTCTCCCGTGCACTTTTTCCCCTTGATATCAATTTCTACACTTGCTCTTTGCATGCTGCTGTGGAGTGTGATAACATACACCCAAATGCTTCTGTCCGAGGTGGTACGTTTTTTGCTTATGTTTGTTTGCTGGACTAGGTGGAGCGTTGCTGTTTTCACAAAACTATTTATTATACGAATCACTTCGAATGGTTTACACATTTAATCCGAATCTTCATCTTTTAATAACTACTCAAGTTCACAAAACAATATCCATGGTATCCTGAAGCTGTGGTCCAAACTATATATTACTGGAGCTATCAGTATTGACACTCCTTCAAATAGGAAAACAAGATTCATAAGCCGAAATTCTGGTATCTCGGAAGTGCGATGTGTTTTTGAAACATGCTTACAGTACTCAGGCGCCGACTAACTTACTGAACCCAATCCGGTCGATGTGATTAATCTGCGAAATCCATCTTTCGAATTTCTGAAGATTCAGTCTCGTTCTCATGATCTGGTAGATATAATATTTAATTCTAAGGTAGAGAGTGTACCGCTAGACCAGGTCCTAGATGATAATCATGTGTACACTGTTTGACTAAATGGTGAAATATTGACGGGAAAGAATTCTGAAGCTTCCTATTATCTCTTTGTAATTTCTCTTTAGACATCCACTAAATGCAGTTTAGATGAAATGGAAAATAATTTCTACTGAAAGTTGTCTAACCCCCTAATAAAAGTCAAATTTCAGTCACATTTGTCGTAATTGCTGATTTCACTGCCCAGCTGTAAACTCTGAGTGATGCATAAATGCGATTTCGGAGGCCAGGCTGAACGAACGGACATCGGTGATTGATTACTACAACGGCAATCGAACTACGTCATTCGTCCGGTAGAGTTAAAGACCGTAGCTGTATCTAAAAAAGATGTTACAAAAGGGTTAGTGGATCTCAGCATTTCCTTTAGAATTAATGGATGAGGGAGAACGCATCCCTGCAGGTTCTAAAGACAATGAGGAGTGGCAACAACTCAGATGGTGACTAACGATAAGTCTATCCAATAATGGCGAGCAGTGATGGGTAGCGAAGGCTAAAGTGATGGAGATGGCGATGGCGTAAGGTATCAGTAGACATTTATTTAGACTTATCAAGGAAACTACGATTAAAAAGTCAGTGGCTAGGAACAGCGAAAAAAGGTGGATCTACGAGTCACTTGCAGAATAGACGACTGAAATGAAAATTTTCACCTGCTTTTCTGCTCCTCTTCTGTTACCCTATATTCAGTCGGATCCTGAATGAAACGTTGAGTAAGGGCTTCTAACTCTTATAGAAGCCTAGAATGCTGTTATTAACCAAGAACTGGGATGTGCAGCAGACTCCAGTGGATCAGCACCAGCAGTAAATAATGGAAGGTGATGGAAATTTATCAGCAAGATTAACTAAAGTATTGGACAGGGTATAGCAATTAGATATGATCTTTTTTGATTGGTTTCAACCGCTAATTGTTCCAGACTTCAAAAGAGAAGAGAAATCGATTAGTAACCAGGGTGTAAACAGTCTGATAGGCATCTGTCTAAAATACTATGCTTTGTTATCATCTGACGTTTAAGTAAAAGCTCGGGAATAGAAAACCGGAGAAATTCAGGCAGTTTTCAAACCTAGCTATGAGTATATCTGGCAAATATTCACCCTCCACAAGATCCCGGGATACCAGCATACCGACTGACCTCGATAATAGGTATATTTCCTGACCTGAAGGCGATATTCGACTCTGTCTATTGTTAGTTTTTATTTTGGTGTCTCCTACTCAGAGGATTACCGGTTGAGGATATCTTTTTACTGAGGGCTCTATATTCAAACGGTCGTGGGCATCGGAGCTGATGGTTGAGGTAATAGGTGAGTGGTATCCGTCAAGTATTTTCACTCACTTAGTTATTCTTACTGAACTTTCTAATAAACGTTGTTATCCACGTTTTCGTTTCATCGTGTGGCTACACAGGAAACTCCTTAGTTGACTTACAGTACGCAGGTGACACAATCCTTTTAAATGCGGATGCTGATAAAATGCGGTTCCTTGTATATCTTGAGTGGCGACTTCAGAATGTTTGGGTTACATTTCTCACCACCTAGATAACAGTTTTCTATATCCTTGTCGGCACCACTTAATAAAACCTGAGTTATATATTTATTTGTGTGTGAGTGTGGACACTTGTACAATAACCTGAAGATTCCACCCTTAATGATCAGGTGTATTGCAACGTCAAAAATATGTACAAAATACAAGGGTTTATGTATATATTAACCAATCTAAATTATACACTTTACTTCACTTGCTTTTCCCAGGAACTTCGGTACAGAACCATTGCTTCTTAAAGGTTTCAGAGATTTACACTTTCTTGTGAAGATATTGTCGACCTTTCTTTACACTATAACGCAATTATTATTTCAAACACTAATGTTGTACAAAATGGTCACCAGATGTGCTTTACAGTACAAAATTAAATGAAGACAAAATGCAGTTAACGTCATGACATACACAGGTACGTTATGATGAACGTCCTAGGGTGAAGTTACTGATGGCTGGATAGGTTGGAACAGTAGTAGTGTTTCTCACGGTTGACCAGCGGTACCATGCTTGATTCCAATCTTCCCCATAGGTAAACGTTCTAAAAGGATCAGGCGAGTACTGGAAGCCAATAGTTACTGAAATTTTTGGTCTGACCTTGTAGATTTAACTTGAACACCGAAGAATAACCTACTTGCCAAAAACAGCACACTTTCCTGCCGTACCGTTTCCCTTCGACTCTGCACTTACACAAATGTCATTTTCGCCTTCAGATACGTTGCGAAAATAACTTCTATGGTGTAGGAAGCCGGGAAACAACAACTGTCGCACGCTTCCAGCAGAATACGCAGCAAAACTAACCGAAGGATTGACTTTTAGAAAGCTACAAAATTTCAATTTCTCTAAACGAATTTTAGTTGGAGAAATACATTACATGTATAGCTTAACATTGCCATGACCAGTTAACATTTTGTCACTTACGTTTTTGGTCGTACGGATCGAGAATTATTGACGACATTCTTGAGCAAAGTTTATCAGCCACATGAATGTGGAGAAAATTGAAAAAATTATAAGTGATTTTAGGAAACTGTAAACCATTGAAAACGTGATTATTGTTACTTGCAAATTTTCTGATTACGCATCTATGTATTTTTGAAAATCATCAAGTCGGAATTACAGATTGTGGTCGTTCCAAGATAAATCTGCTTTAAAATATTTTAGACGTATTGCTGAAAGACATGATCAGTTTCTCCAATTAGCTCACAATAACGTATGCAGCCATTCTATGTGGAGTTAACGGCAGTGTTCTCCTTATTGATTTAAACTTCAACATAAACCCATCAAATTCTATGATTCTGCTAATATTTTTTGTAGATGCAACTTTTGCAATCATCAAATGAATTTGGAGATACAACTCAAAGTGGTTATCATGCAAATACAGCTAAATCACATGTTAGATTCAGCTCAGAATTGCTATTCAACCTTATACGTCTACGCAAAATCTCACGGGACGATCATAGTTCAATCAGCTCTGAATCAGTTAATGCTGTGTTGGATCGTTCGATCCAACGCCTCTGTGCGGAGCTAATTCGGATACTTAGCGGTTCTAATTTTGTCACGAGTGAATACCTAGCAGTTCATTTCAAAGCTATTCTCAACAGGAAGAATAGTTGTGATTCAGACTCCCCTCACAAATGTCTCCAAAACGGTACAGAAGCTGGTCTAAATAAAACCGTTACTGGTCTGCATTTTCGTTCATTACTTAAACAACTTGCTGTAAGAAACCGATCAAAACGTGATCGATATCCTCCAGATCTACATTCACGCGGTCGTCTAGATGATATGTGGATATTGCGTGATAAATTCAGATCGATCGCCAGCTATCTTTCCATGCATTTGGGAGCTGCAGAAAGGCTGGATCAACCCAATAGTAGTTCTGTATAAGTTCACTAAACAAATGTATATACTTCTGCACCGTATTTTGTACAGTTTTATGAAAGGTTTTGAAATACGTACCTTGCTTTTTTTTTTTGGATGTCAACTAGTAATCTCAAAAGACTAAGACAAAATAGATTGATACACAAAGCCAGATATTTCTTGTTTTCATTTTGAATTCACTACTAAAAAGTACATTAGCTAAGAGTCCTATCAACTTACTTTTAAATAGTAGCTTCTGAAACACACGAAGCTAGACTTTCTTAATAGTTCTAGTGTAGTACCTATTGGTCATTCATCAACACACTTGATAATTTTCAATGATATATGCTGTGGACCTTTCCTATCATCTCATCATCAGTTTGTTAACTGAAATGCATATAACGCCGGTAAGGACATTCTTCAATTGATATCTCTGTCCAATTAAATTACCACATTGTTTCAGACTAAATGCTTTTATTGAACGTCAAATAAATATACAATCACATAAGAATTTCAAGTTTTCCTCACTCCATGTGAAATGTTTACACAACTTTTATGTATGTTGATTATTATATGATATATCTTATTATATTTTAATAGATCAAGTGACTTGTCAGTTAGATTGAAGAGTCCTCATATGAGCTTTAGCCTGTTTTAGCCATTTTGAATAATTTTCAAGATTCTGGCTCATCCCTTTCTGGAGGAAATTTTTGTGCAACTCATGAATTTTTGAACATGATCCCCTTCGTATTCTAGCCAAATTAAGAGATAATTTCTCCCAATCAATAAAAGTGTTTTTTATTTTGTTATCTGTTGACTTGACGTTGAACTCACCTGATGTTATTTGATCGTATATTGGTACAAAATTAGAACTATTAGGGTTTGCGATTCTAGGTAAAATTTCATACATAGGTTGATGTTTTGATTTATATGTTGCGCTGTGCATACTGATTCGTAATAAGTTATTTGCTAGGTTGTCACATTCGGAGTTATTCACATGAAGTGGAGATCCACAGTGGCTCATTTGCACTACCAAAGAGTTTGTACTTATCGCTTTTATTTTATTTTCTGTACAAGTATTTCTTCCCCTCCTTAGTAGATGACCATCACTAGAATGTGGTCGCTTCTTGTTGTTATCGTCAGATAAGTCACAAATGTATGGTTTTTGTAATCCGTGTGAAGGATATTCATTGCATGAAACATTACTCGGCAAGTTTATATCTTTGCTTTCTAATTGACTCCTTGGTTGTGAAGCTGAAAAGATGCGAGGATTGTTATTTGACTGAAATATATCCTCTCTGTTCTTAGCGAAAATGACTTTGTATTGGTTGTCCATATCGTACAAGCGTTTATCAATTTCGTCGCACCAGTTGACCAGTTCTTTTTGCAGGCGGTATAATTGGTGATTGGCTCGTAGTACTTCTTCGTGATTTTTCTCCATTTTTTCAAGCAGCTGTGTAACACAAATTGAGTCAGTTTTTCATGATGTTTTTGCGGCGAAACACCAGTTTCACACTTGTCATTGTTTGAGAGAACTATTATGTCCTGCAATTTTCCTAGTCGCTCGTTAACCTTGTGATTTTCATATACATTCGGGTTGTGTTTTCTTTCATTACATAGATTGACTTTTGATTCAGTTCCCACTATCTCTGTAATATGGTATGACTGATTTGCACTTTTCTTCCCGAAATGCTAGTGTTAATGGATTCTTCTGAGTTACTTAAATAGGGGAGATCTAGGAGGTTTGGGTCCACCCGATTAACAAGTGGAAACGTAAAACGTGTTTTATCATTCTCTGGAATCTTGTTGTATGAGTATGCTTGCTGTCCGTATATTGTGTCATGTTGTACAGTCGCAGTTTTTTCAAGCTTCTTGCTGTGATTTTCTGAAGGTTTCTGTTTTTTAATGAGAGGTATATTCGCTTTTTCGTTTAAACTATGAACAACTAAATTATTGTCAGGAATCGTTTGGTTGTGAGTAAACTGAAAAGCATTCAAACTGTCACTCGGTATGCGAATGCAGGCAGGCTGACTAAATTTACCAACACTCAGCAACTTAAGTTCATTTAAAAGAGAACCTGTCTTCTGATGAAGATGTATTTTTAATAGCTTCTGATTACCATCAGTTGAGTTTGTATGTCGCTTGTTTTTCCTGTGCTCCAGTACTTTATTTTTACAATAAACATCGCAAGGGTGTTCCCAAATAGACTGACCATTAACGAAATTAAAGTAGTATATTTCTCCATTGGTGTTCATACAAGGTTTCCAGTTGGTTGGAAGTGGAGCTTTAATTCCTTCGCACACCACAGGATATAAATCTGGTTCTTGCTCCAAATTAATGCCTAACCAGTGAGCATAGTCTGAAACTTCTGCTTTTGTAAATTGGTAGTGCTTTTTATATTTTTCCTCCAGTATAACTTGCCCGTTGATACAAACTGTCATAAGAATGTGCTTGCTGATCCTAGTGGATTTAAGCTTTATTCCTGTGAAGGAGTAGAGAAATGTTTATGATGTGTTAAATAGTATCGAAAATGCTCAATTAAAGCTAAAACACTCGAATAAGATGGTCAATTTGAAAAAATAATTTGCAAAATCATTGGAGCAAAAGGATCGTCCGGTGTTTAAATCACTCTGACCTGGCAGGTACGTTAAAAAAAGCAACCTTATTGGTTTCTAAATGCTCAAGTAGTTCAGGTAGTATATTTCCGTAGTTCGTAACACTTGTTTCAGAGATCATACCTTGTGATCTTGACTGGGTGATTTTCAGCGGATGCTCCAACACCACAGTCGAGCAGTTGAAAAACTACTTAGCTGTGGGAAGTGTAATCGTGGAGCGTGAAATTTGTAAGTCACTGGTAAATTGATCATACTGTTCAAGATATACCGGCACAACTAAGTTAGCTAGCCAGATTCAGGTGATCTGAGCAATTCAGCTTTATGAGCTGAATTTTTCAGAGCACACTGCCGATGGACTTGGTCCCAAATGAGTGAAACGGCCGTCTGGTGTTTAGACCACTATGATCTGGCTGGCAAATTCTACAGAACAGGCTGAGTGTTTTCTAACTACTCAGGTTATTCAGTAGTACCTTCCAAAACGTACTCAAGTAGTCCAAAAATGTCAGCGTGGTATTTATAATGAACCTAAATCAGCTGTAGAACAAGTGAAAACCTAGAAGCACTGGAAAGCTGTTTCGTCCCAGTATGTTCATCGTTAATATGCTTCGAGATGATATTTCTAATGAGAATTCGTGACCCGCAGGGCAAACCTAATCGGATGGGAGGAAAATACTTGACAGTGGCAATAGATGTTGGTCGTGCTATATCGCGAATTGACAGAAGTAGGAGGATGTGGACCAACTGATCTCGACCCAGTGATTCAATGGTAATGTGCTCACGACAAGACTTGAAGACTCTGGGTTTGATTCCTAGTGGGTCGATGAGTATGCACTGCTGAGTAGTCCCATACTGTGACGGAACTGCTACCCAGTACTCTCAGGTTTTCAGTGGTTCTCCAACTGATGTCAATTCATGATGAATGTCACTCGGAAACCGATCAGTCCCCCAAAATCTCCAAACTGAACTGAAAAGCAGTCTTTTTAATTACTTCCTCCTGATGTCATTTATACATGTTGGTCCATTATATAATAATTTTAAGAAAGTTGGATTTCTTGTAACAATTTGAATCAATCCTAATTTCAGAGTCAAAGATTACCGAAAGTCATTTAAAATTAGTCATGTAGATGCTAATATTTTTATGTGAGAATCAAGTGTTTAAAGCACTTTTTATTCAGAGTAATTAAGCACTTCACTAAATTGTTTGATGTTAAGTGTTTGTAATTTAATTTGGGAGTGAATTCCACCTCCTATGACGAACTTTGTGCTAATAGACAATAACATACAAAGAAGAGGAAATGGACCTAAGGGTTTAGTGTCTGAGAATCCAGTCAGCCAAAAGGTGGGTCTGGATAAATAGGTAATCTAAAAATAGGTTGCGTAGGGTATAAAAATGCACAACTAAAAATGAATTAAATCGATGCATCCAAATCCTAGCAGCTTTCGGCAAATTAGTGAAACCATGATAGATAGTTGATTAAAGTGGATAGGTAAATGTCTTAAACAAGTCTGTTGAGTAGTGAAAACCAATAGTTATAGGAATTATGCGTCTAACTATTGATATTTGATCGTAAAAACCGGAGAATAATCTGCTTCAATATGTTTGACTCTTTGTGAAGTCAGTGTTTGCGCTTCAGATGACTAGTTACAAAATTAAAAAGTCACTGGGTTCATTAAGAACGTTTATCATTAAGCCTATGAAATAAAGATGAGAAACGTAAAGTTGCTGTGTAAAAAGTAATTATTCGTCTAAAACTGTTGAGGCTAAAGTGATTCGCGATATTTTATTTTCCGAAAATCAAAGGGTAAACTCTGACGGAGCATATTACATCTACGTCTTTCGTTAACACCCCTACACAGTGAGGTACGATCTTCATGATATTACAGAGTTTAAAGAAAGGCTTTAGACCAATAGCCTGCTTCTCACAGTCATACGAACTAAGACCTCGGTGATTCAGCATGTTTGGAAAGGCATTTTTTTTTATCGCTCCCTTAATGAGGAGAAACGTAGGGACTGGGCTTACTAGGCATTGACTTTGAATAGCCAGTCAGAATTACTTAGTTTCTAAAACTGATTGGAGAGGTAAGAGAATACTTACACCGGAGGGTTTTGATAAGCATATCCATCGTTTTATGAATGGATTGGAACTTAGTTTACAAATACAGAACCCTGCTGTCTACGAAACGGAAAGTGAAGATTAATCAGGTTGTTCGCTGATTTTTTTTATCTACAGAAGCTTGAAAACATTCTAGTTTTGTTATGAGTAAAATAATGTGAAACTTAGTGAGAATACACGTTTTTCCGGTCATATAATAAATTCTGCTCTGCAATATTGAAAGATTAGGTCACAAATAACCTTAGTGGTTTACAAACTAACGTCTAAGAACTGAATCTAAGCATCCAGGTCAAAGAATTATGTTAGCTATTAGGCGACAAAAGTCTGAAGTAACTCACTAAACGGTGTTAGCGCAAAAATAGCATCCTACCTGGTGTTTTTTGTGTCGTGTTATCAGAGCACGCTAACGCTTTCAACAGCGTATTACTATTCAGTTATTTGCAAGTTAGGACTAGTGTCTAACAATATGGTGCAAATATCAATACTAGATCACATGACCAGTTAGTTATACAGCGTTTGAGCTACTCATTTCAAAACAATATGAAACCCTCAATTAGCAAGTACAGTGAACTATTAATTGGGTGAAGACAATTGACAGGGAGCCCTGGGATTGGGTTTCGTGCTTGTTGGCGCTCGTTAGCAAGGTTTATCTTCAACCTCTAAAGAATTGATGTACCGCCTGAGATTCGAACTCGCGTCATCCAACTAACATCTATCGACAACATGAAGCTGGTTACAAGCCAGCGACCAATCAATGTGATAGTGGAATGGCTTTATGCAGATTCAGCTTCATATTGTTACACCGTACAACCCTTGACATAGAGCAAAAAGAGTTATTGTACAACCAAAAGTCTGATTTGTTCAGAGGTACATAAAAATAGTAAAGTGTTGGTCTCACAATTTAGACGATCATTTTGAACCTGACAAGAAACGAATTTTAACCTGCGCGAAGACTGACAACGCAAACAGTGCGATATCACGTATCAAGTATTTCCCCATACTCTTCGAACTGCTGAAACTGTGTACACAACAAGTATGGTAAGCCGTGTCTACATTGGGAATATGCAAAGCTGTGGATATTTCTCATGCACTTTTTTTCCACATGGAAAACTACTTAAGCTACTTCCATTAAAACATTTTTGGGAACCTTGTAGCACCTAAATTTCAAGATACTTACGAGAGTTAGTATGCGAACAAATTAGGCTTAAGCAGCAGTGCGACCACGCTGCTCCCAGCGAAGTGGGAAATCTTTTACGCTGCAAATAATAAATTTGCTTTATTCTGAACCATAATTATGTTTACAGGTGGGAAACGTTTGGTTACAAACGTACAATGGGTTGACATACGTGTCTCTATAATAGTAGTACCAGCAGATGGTGTATGACAGTGAACGTGGTGTCAAAACAGTCAAACGATATCCGGCTATGGCGGGCAACGGTTTTTCAACATGAACATGGGCTTAGCTAGCTTACTTATATTACGTATGTAAGCTTTAACCCAAGGTATAGAGAAATTCTACATAGGCCAATCTTTAACAGTACCAACGGTCAGGAAAACAAGAATAAATGATGTGCCAATTATACTTAGTATAACGATTAACTGAAATTAAGACAGCTAACGTTAGATGTTGACAATTTACCGCAACAAAGTTGTAACGACTAGTGTTAGGTCTTTGTCTGACTTAGAGGTGCGTTGAAAAAAAGTATGTGAAG